ATCTCATCCGGGGGAAAATTTCCTTAAATCTCTAGTGTAGCAAGCTGAGCATAGTGAAATGATGGAGACTGCCAGCTCTTCTCATGTAAGCTTCATTCCAGAGTCTTCCTCCTTCTTTAGCAACCTAAAGTGGGGTTGGCATCATCTATCTTTTCTCTCCAAACTGGAGCCAGAAGCACCCCAAAACAGTCTGAAGGTAATTAAAGAGGCTTAGAGACTGAAGAAACTTGAAAGAGACTAGAGACTTCGGTCTCCCCCACTCTTTCCAATTGTACCCTGCTCCTTTTAGTCAGGTGTGGGTCACTGATCTCCACCAATGAGGAGAGAGTCCCATACTAATAGGACTCAGGTTACATATGATAAGCTAATATTTTATGTCATGATAAGATGATGATTGAGTTGACTGCAGATTGGACTAGATGGTGTGAAGGTCCCTGTCACTGTTAAGAATCCATGAATATCAGAGAACTAAACTGTCTAATAGAGGAAGGTTAGTAAGTTCTCTGGAGTTCCCATTTAATCATAAGCATTGGTGTAGAGCATTAAGCTGAAGACAATCTGGATTCTAGTCCCAGCCACTGAACTAGCTGTGTGATTCTTGGAAAATTACTTCTCTCTTTGTCACAGTTTTGTTATCTACAAAAGGAGGGAGTGGACGTAGATTATTTTTAGGTTCCCAGCTTTGACAGTTTATGATTACAGTGGTAGGCTTATTATTATGTGGATAGATTATGGGTCAGGTCTTGTTTCCTCAAACATAATTCAACAAATGGTTAGTCAAGGTTTACTATGCAGTCAGTCCTCAGCCAGATGTTATAGTCATTATAAAAGAAATGTAGTTCTTGACTTGTAATCATCTCTACAAGTTAAACAGAAACCACAGATTTTGTTCCCTAAAACATAAATGAGCTTCCACTTTATCTGGGTTCTAAGAGCTTTTCATTTTATTACTTTTTCTTTTAGATGGCAGGATCTTTAATTTTGTTGCTTAGTCGTTTTAGTTGTATCTGACTCTTCATGACCCCATTTGGGGTGTTCTTGGCAAAGATACTGGGGTGGTTTGCCATTTTTTTCTCCAGATTATTTTATGGATGAGGAGCTGAGGCAAATAGGGTTAAGTGACATGCCCAGGATCGCATAACTAGTAAGTGTCTGAGTTTGGTTTCAAATTCATGAAGATGAGTCTTTCTGATTCCAAGCCCAGTCCTCTATGCACTGTGCCACCTAGATGCCCCAGACTGAGTCCTTAAACAGTTTAGTTAAAAGGAGTAAGGGTAGGATTAGGGGTCTTGTTTAACTTATAAATTGTGGAACTGTACTGCATTTGGGAAAAGAAATGGAGGTTCAATGGAAAGAATGTTGGATTTAGAGTCCAAGGACCTACCTCTGCATAAAGCTCTGCCACTTACTACCTGTGTAACCTTAAGGGGATAACTTCTCTGGACTTGTTTCTTTATCTATAACATGAGATTGGACTAGATGGCTTTTAATAAGCTCCATTTCAATTCTATATCTTTGATCCTATGATCTCTTTAGAGGACAAGGTAAACTCTTCAAGCCTTAATGTCCTCATTCCAGGAAGCATGCCCTAAATAATTTTACTGAAGGGTGTGGCAGGCATGGCCAAGGATATAGTGATGCCTGACCTTGTGACTCAGAGCCATAGTTGCCCTTTGGAATTTTCTGTATCTACAGCTTCAGGCAGCTCGAAACCCTGCTCAGTACTCAAGCCTTCCCATCAGACCCAGGAAAAACCATCCCAGCAACACAAGACCCTTAATCCCCAGTTGCACTGCTCTTCCACAAAGAGGTCTCTATTGTTTCTCTTATTCTTCTTCTGTCAGCAGCTCATCTCTTCAGCCACAGTATAAGGCCAATTTAGAAGCATCCACCTACAGATTCTGGGCCTCCCAGCTTTTATCTCCTGCCAGCAGGCATTCTTAAAGTGAGAGAGAAGCTGATTGGCAGCAATTGCCTTCCTGTTCCCACAGCTCCACTGAGTATCCTCCCCTTCCTATCCCCACCTCCCCCCTTCTACTGGGATAGCCATGGAAACGATCAAGTGCTGAACTTGGAGTAGAAAGAGTTGAGTTTGAATAAAGCCTCAAATGGTTATTAGCTACATAACCCTGGGCAAGGCACTTAACCTCTCTCATCTTCAGCTTCCTCACCTTTCAAATGGTTATAATAATAATAATAATAATACCTACCTCATAGGGTTGTTGTGAGCTTCAAATAAGAAAAAGCGCATGTATATAAGCATATATATATCTATATATATCTATATATATCTATATATATCTATATATATATATATATATCTGTCAATCTTAAACTATGTAAATGTTAATTATTGTTATTATAATTTGCAAGGTACTCCACTGGGTGTTGAAAACACAAAGGCAAAAATTAGGTGGCAGATGAGCTAAACCTTGAAAGAAGAGGAAGATTCTAATAGGTTGAGATAATGAAGTAATGGATTCCAGGCAAAGGGGATAGATAGCCTGTGTAAATGAATCATCTCTGGTGGAATGTCAAGTTAGAGAAACAGCTAATGGTCCATTTGGCTACAAGATACAATCTTGGTACAACGAGGGAAACTAATGTGAATAAAGCTAGAAAAGTAAATTGGAAGAACGTTGTTGAAGGCTTAAAATGTTTGGCAGATGAATTTATATTTTATTCCAGATGCAACAGGGAACCAGTCAAGGTTTTTAGCAGGGGTGTGAGAGAAGTACCCTTGCAATTTAGGAATATTACTTTATCAGCTGTTTGGGGGCGGAATGGAGAGAGGACCAGATGTAAACAGAGGGCTGCTATTTCAATAGTCTTGCTGAGTGGTGATGAGAGCCTGTGAACTAGGGTAGCAGCCACATAAGTAGAGAGAAACAGAAGGATACGAGAGATGTTGTGGAAGTAGAATAGATAGGACATAGCAACTGAATAGATATAGATCATAGGGCAAAATCCAGATCAGTGGAAGACTGGTAACTGAAACAGAAACTGGGATGTTTGGAGGCAAAGTAGGTTTAAGTAGATATAGGCGAGAGAATAAAGAGTTCTGCTCAGTTGAATTTGAAGGGCTGGTGAAAATGTCTAGCAGAGAGTTGGAAATCAAGAGAGAGATTAGAGTTAGAGATACAGATTTGATCATCATTTTGATGGAAGTGATATTTGAACTCATAGGATCTAACAAAATCATTTATGGAGAGAGTACAGAAAGAAAAGAGAAAGGTTATGATTCGTTTTTGGTTTTTGGTTTGTTTTTAGGCAATTGGGGTTAAGTGACTTGCCCAGGGTCACACAGCTAGTAAGTGTCAAGTGTTTGGTCTGAGGTCAGATTTGAACTCAGGTCCTCCTGACTTCAGGGCTTGTGCTCTATCCACAACGTCACCTAGCTGCCCCAGAGAAAGGTTATGTTTCAGAGGCGGGTGATAGATATGGAGCCAGCAAAGGTGAATGAGCAGAGTATCATGTAGGTAAGAGCACTAGGAGAGAATAATGTTGTAGAAGCTGAGGAAGAAGAGGGGGGAAATGGGCAATGGTATCAAAAGCTGCAGAAAAGTTAAACAAGGATTAAACTTCCTTTGTATGTGGGTGGGGTTTGGAGAGGGAATAATAAGAGTATGGAATAAAGAATCTTATAGAAATACCAATTCTTATTAGAATTATTAATTCTATAATTATTAGAATAATTAATTAGAATTAATTAAATTCTTATAGAAATAAGAATAAAGGAAGAGCCAATAGCAATCAAAGGAAATTGAAGAGACAAATTTAGGTCTGATATCAGGAAAACTCTAAGCATTAGTACTACCCAAAAGTCTCATGGACTGCCTCAAGAGGATTAGTGGATTTTCCCTTCAGTGAAGGTCTTCAAGGAGAGTTTTGATAACCACTTGTCAGGTGCACTGCAGGGGTTCTTTTTCAGATGTAGGTTGGACTATATAGTTTTTGAGGTCCCTTCCAATTCTAGAATTCTGTGATTCTATGAAAATAAGGACTGATAAGAATTCATTAGATTCATCAATTAAAAGATAACTGTCAATCTTAGAGAGAATTGTTACAGATGATTGGTGCCAAAAATCACATTCCAAGGAGTTGGTGAATGAGAAGTTAGGAAGGAGAAACTACATAGACAACTTTCTAATGAAAAAGATGGCAAATTCAAGTTGCTAGGATGGTAAGATATGGTATAAGGGGATGCCAAGATTAAATGATTTAGTGAAACTTTTTATAAGGATGTAGTGGAATATGTTTTCATATATAAAATACTGAATAGACAGGAAAGAAAGAGAGAAAAGAAGAGAGGTTATGATAAAGGAAAAATGAGAATAATTCTTAAGGAGCCTACTCCCTAGGGAGATGGAAGGAGATAGGATCAAGTACATAAGGTGAAGATTTTGTATAGTATATTAATATTTACAAAGCAGTTTCCTCACATCAGTCTCTATTTTGTGGATGAGAAAATTGAGGCTTAAAGAGGAAAATGACTTGCTTAATAGAACAGCTCACAAATAGAATTCCCTTACATTTCACCATATCACATTGCCTCTGCTAACAAAGCTCAAATTTAAAATTCTTACCCCACCCCCTTCCAGAATAAAACGGCAATATTGGTTACTAGTTGTAATTTTTAGTTTTTTTTTTAAACAGTGACACCTAGATTTGGATAAAATCCGAAAAGTTCTGAAATAGTGTTTTGCCACTAACTTGTTTCAGGACTTCAAATCACGTCCCTTGGGCCTCAGTTTCTTTTCTTGTCAAACAAGGGGCTCATATTAGAGCATCTCTCAGGCCTCTTCCAGCCGTGACAGTCTATATGACATCAAATCTGGTCTGTTGCATCATCTTCCAGACTGCAGCAGTAGAGAGTAGGTGGGGATTGCAGCAAGGTTTCTTTTGAAGCTGCATTGGGGCCCATAACCCACTAGAGGGCGCTCTGTCTGCACCCGGGGTCCTTCCCTTTGTCAGTATAGGCAACAGTAAAGCACTCTCATTCCTCTGAAGCCTCATGCGGGAGATGGATTTAATTTTGATCGCAGGGCTGTAAGGGAGGGGACTGGAAAGGAAACCTTTGTCATCCAGCAGCAGCCTCTGTTGCCTTTAATTACATTAAAGTGAAGGAGCTGTGGGCTGGTGAGGGCAGTGCCAGCCAGGTGTGGGCAGGGAAGACATCCCCAGTGCTCTGACAAGTGTGGGGCTGAGGATGGATGGAAAAGGACCCTCTGCAGATTAGCTGGGTGGACTTCACATCTACAGATTGGCCACAGCGGAAGATCAGTTATGGACAAGATGCTTTAAGGAGGTAAGGCAGTCGTGGGCGTGGAAATGGCCAGTCTACGTATTTATCTGTCTTGAATGTTATTTTAAAAATCTGTCGTGTATTAGGTAGATGATATGCTTTCATGTGTGGACATCTGACATTTTAAAATATTCATTTGTGATGTCTTTCTCACTATCAATATTGCAGAAATGCCAAAAGATTGACGATAGTCTAATTTCGTGGCCCTATGAAATGAACATCTCTGGGGTATAATCCCCTAGACTAGTCTGCATAAATCAGCAATAAATAATTTTACTCTTACAGAAGGGTTGGTGAATGTTCATTTTCATCTAGTTTTATCTCAATTACAGGTGAGTTTGGTTTTTTTAAAGAAAATAATGTGTTTTCTTTTTCCCCTTCTGCTCTCCCCCACCTTTTAGACTTAAAATTTGTGTTCAGTCTGGCTTGTGGCTTCATGGTTTCTGCATAATTTACTCTTGGGGGATACCCCTGTGCGCTTGGTAGCAACATACACAGAAACACACTTTGCAGCTATTTCACAGACTAAGAGGCAGGGTAAGGAGGTGGTTGATCTAAAACCTGGAAATATTTTGCAAAGAAAAACTGGCGTGTAATTGTGTTCTAAGTATGTTTTCATTTTTCAGGACTCTCAATCGCTCAGGGGCCAGTGCCCATGAAAGTTATGATATTTTTGTTTATTCTTGAGAACTCGCTCCTCTTTCTCCCCTTTTTTCTTCCTCTCCCTCCTCTCCTACCCCCACCCCCAGTTTGTTCCCCTTGATGCGTCTGTGAGGCAAGGACAAGTATAGGCTTGTTTTGAAGCCAATGAAGGATGTACCTGGTGTCGGCCTTCTTCAGAATGCTTGCCATGTAGTCTTCAGTCTATCCTATTGTCTTGTTTTCTTTCTTCCTCCCTTGTCCAAGTCCCTACCCGCCCAGTCAACACCCCGCCCCTCCAAGGAGAAAGAAAAAAACATCATACAAAATAAAAGAGAAACTATCCTTCATTTTTGACACATGATCAGTAGCCATCTGTTTCATCTCTTTTCTCTGACTCCACTTGTGGTCTGCATTGTAAAGGTTTCACTGTCTCAAAATTTCTTTGTAGATAATATAAATTGAATTTCAATGCACTAAATTGGCATTTTAATGTTTTCTGAGTAACCCCAATGGGGGGATCTTGATGCTACTTGGGCAAGAGGCCTTTGCGAAAAGACCACCACTTTAGAGATGTCAAGTTCAGCTATCTTCATGTTTTGTGTCAATGCTTTAGAGTCTTTTGCAGATAAAACTGTAGTTCAAGTCTGTTTTTGGAGGCCTAGTAGGTATTTAATTTGTGCAGTTATGGGTTTTGCTTTTGTTTGATTATTATAATTGAGAATTGATATTGTTTGGGACATGAATCAGTTGTTCAAAAGACCTGAATAGAAGTACTTCAGATGAATATCAAAGGTCACCCCCAGACTTGTAAGGTCTTCCCTTTGTCATCTAAAAATTTCTCTTGAGTGTTTAAATATATTTTTCTGACTGTGCTTAAATAGGTTGCCTTTCTACAATTCCACCTGTTTTCATTCTTAATCAGGAAAGGGTCAGAGTTTCACAGTACTCATCACTAAATATCCATCTTTTCCTTATACAGACTAAAAAGAAATTCGATTTAGATTATTTATAAATTAGAGCAAAGCAAATGTTTGTGTACAAGCACATATGCGAAGCCATCAGAAAATGTGACCTTTTTGGTTCTATGACTGCAATTTCTTTATAGAAAAGACCTCTGCACATAAATCTTCTCCCCACCCCAATTTCCTTTCCAGCCCCCTCCCTAAAAAAACCCCAAACAGTTATTTTGCCTAGCTAGGTTAGAAACAACAAAAGTCTATGATAGTCTGTCTCTATGCCTATATTAATTTTAAAAAATAGAAAGGGTGAGCAAAATAAGAGTTATTATATGTGCCTTCTAGTCTTGTAAAGTTAGAATTTACTTTAGTTATTGGTTCAGTGACTGTATTACTTGGGAGAAATCATCTATACTTAGGTTCTTCCACATTAAATTCCTAGCTCAGCAGTCATTTCTTAGAAGACTAATAAAAATTTAAACACAAAAGATGGCCTATACCCTGATAGGCTTATGTTGAACTGTCTAATCAGAATACCACTTCAGGGAACAGATGATCTATTCCCTCTGAATGGCTATTTCTTTAAAAATTGGGTACTCAGCTTCCCCCCCCCAATTAATTTCTATATGGCAGACCCATCCAATTCATAGATAGTAAAATTGTACATTGTTAGAACTGGAGGGGGACTTCGAGGTCATGGCCATTTAGTCCAGCTCACTCCTTTTACAGAATAAAAACTGAGGCCTTGGAAGGTGAAATGATGGATAAGACCAGAAGCCAGATCTTCTGATGCCCAGTTCATTGCTCTTTCAATCCCTCCATGTTGGCCCTCTAATGACTAAAATTAAGCCCTTCTGAAATTAGACAGTATATAACAAGTCTCAAAAATTTGTAGATAAAGTTTAGAAGAGACTTTATTTTAACTAGTCCAGTCTTCTCATTATAATTAAGTTTAATTTTGATTTTTTTTTTTACTAATGCAAAACACAGAGTTTAAGTGACTTTCCCAAGGTTGTACACAGTAGGACATGTGAATGAGCATAATTAAAAGTCACCCTCAAGAAACTGAGGATTGGTAAAGGAAACTAATATTGAAAATAAGTAACCACAAAATTATTTCAAATATTAACATCTTGTATAAACTGCAAGTTATTTGTGAATTCACATGCCAGACACCTAAATTAGTTACCTCTCATCTCAAGGCTCAGTTTCACCTCTCCTTAAAAATAAAGTGATTGGGGCTGCAAGGAGCCTCAGAGAACTAGTCCAAATCTTCTGTTCCTACATAGAACTGGGCAGATTAACTTCTAACTAAGAATTCATCTGCATAATGAATCCATGCAAAATAAAAAGATTGGAAGTTTCCATCTGTCTACTATGTGTTCAGCACTGTGCTCAGTGCTAAGCAGATAGTAGGTATTTACATAAAAGCAAAATAGTCCCTTTCCTCAAAGATTCTACGTTCCACTGGGAAGAGGAGGATGGAGGGAGACAGTATTTCTATTGATACAATCATATGAGTTTGTTGTTTATAGGATCAACTATGCTATTTTTTCAATGTTGAACCATCTATGCATCTCTGTTAGAATTCCAACATGAGCTTAATGAACCCTTTTTTAATATATCATTATAATCTATTTGCTGGAAATGTGTTAAAATATTTTGTGTCAATATCCATTAGTTATAAAAGGAAGCATAGCATAATGTATGGAAAATCTGCCACAGAGCTCTGAAGATCTAAGCTCAAGTCCCACTTCTGACGTATACAGTAGGACATTGAACAAGGCACTTAATCTCTTAGTATTGCTTAGGTAACTTTCTAAAATGTTAAGTTTCAGAGAAATTGGTAATCTGCATTGGTGGAGGGAGTTTTCTTGCTGGGAGTTCTCTACACAGATGAAATCTCAGGTCAGGAAAAAATTATTAGTAATATTGTATGATTTTTTTCTCTGCTTTATCACTCCCTGGTTTGGGAATCTATAGCATGTTTTTCTCATAAAGCACCTTCTTTTTATTGTTGAGAATAACTTTTGTAATATAGTTGCTCTTTAAGTGTCTGATAGAATTCATTTCTAAATTTTTCTGGATGAAGTAAGTACTATTTCTTAAAAAGGCAACGAAAAAATTAATTAAAAGGTGTTCTCTCACAGTGTTATTTGCTTTAACAAAATTCTCACTTGTAAGGGATTTAAGTAAAGAGAAAAGATTATCTTGATCCAAGAACACAGATATTTCCTAAGTACTGCTTATGCTTTCCTTTTTTTCCTGTTTCTATTGAACTGATAAAAAGAGTTTTGAAAGAGGAAGGATAAAGGTGTGGAAATCTGTTTTTAAATACAATAATTTATTCTTCAACAACTATTAAGCTCCCACTGTTTGCCATATGATGATCAGTTGAAGGAATCTGGATATGTTTAATGTGCAGAAGAGAAGACTTAGGGACTTGATAGCTGAAGAGTGTCTGAAGTGCTGTCATATGGAGGTGGGATTATACTCCTCTCCTTGGATCTAGAAAATTAGGAGCAGTTGGTGAAAGTTGCAAAGAAGCAGATTTAGTCTCTATCCAAGGAAAAAAACTTCCTCATAATTATAGCTATTTAAAACTGGTATTAGATGCCTTGGAAGGTTTTCACTCATTGTAGATCTTCAGACAAAAGCTGGATTACCAATTGCTGGGGACATAGTTGTTCAAGCATAGGGTGGATAAGTCACTGTCTGAGATTCTGTGATTCTACAAAACCTCTCTGTTAGGTGTTAGGATAGTTATAAATGTTGTTGTTGTTATCATAGGGATAGAGATCTGTAGTTGTATCTATACATGGAATTCCTAGATGAAGAAACTTTCTCTTCTAGAGCAAATCAGCATCTCTGCCACTTACTGTCTTAGAAAGTGGCATAGAGCACTAGGTTAAGTGACTTGCCTAGGGTCACACAGAGAGTATGTGTCAGAGGCAGGACTTGACCAGAGCTCTTCCTGGCCTGTGGATGGCATCAAGGGGCCAATAGAACACCTGACAGACTGGTTCATAACCTCATAGTATTTGGAACTGAAATGGACCTCAGAAATTATTTAGTCAACTTACATGCCTCATTTTTTTTTTGCAAGCTATCAGGGTACCACAAAAAATTATGAAGTTTCTTTTTTTGTTGTATATTGAATATCCCTTTCTAGTCCTTCCTTCATCTCCAGTTTCTTCCAGAGTTTAATGCCCTTATATTGTTCTCTGGCTGTCCAAAGTCTCCTATTTTAACATTTTGCCCAAATCTCTCCTCCCTTGAAATGTCTGATCCTCTCAATTATCTCCTTCATAGCTGTGCCACTCACATTTGAAGTGTGTTAAGGCTTGTAAAGCATTACTGTCACAACAACCCCATAAGGCAGATAGTGTCTGTATTAATACATCC